GATGTTAATACGCCACACCAGTTACTCGTTTGAGGCTGAGTCGACCTAGGGGAGGTTCAAATAATCGTCACCGGTGGTGGCCGTGAGCGGGAATGGAACTCGGTTCGCCGGGTTTGTAGCGCAGCGTAGCGTTAACCACTACACCCACCGCTCCTCACACACCACACACGCACAGATACACACACAGACACACACACAGACACACACACAGACACACACACAGACACAGACAGCACGCTAAGCACTACACTACCGTTCCCCCTACACAACACACGCGCGCGCGTCCATAGGTACACATACACGCGCTTGCTGCAGACACACACGACTGTCAGGGTGCGTACGGCAGTAAACGACTGAAAAAAGAAAGCGGCAATGCTGCGCGAGGAACGCCTTAGACCTGCAACACATTTGTGTAATGCGAGCGTAAACACACAAACACATACAAACACATACACACACATACATACACACATACACACAAACACATACACACACATACATACACACAGACATACACATACACACAAACACACACATACATACACACAAAAACATAGACAATACACACACACATACATGCAGACACACAGACAGACACATAACACACATACATACACACAGATACATACACAGAAACACATACACACAATACATAGACACACACATACATACACATAAACAGATCCACAGACGTACATACACACATACATACAGACACGCAGACATACACATAAACACATACAAAAAAACCCACATACATACACACACATACACACAAACACATACACACACATACATACACACATGCATACAGACACACAGACATACACAAACATATACACACATACACATGACCCGGCTTCGCCCGGGACTTGGATCCACCACGCCCGGCCGCCTTTGTCTCCCCAGTGCCGATGTTAATACGCCACACCAGTTACTCGTTTGAGGCTGAGTCGACCTAGGGGAGGTTCAAATAATCGTCACCGGTGGTGGCCGTGAGCGGGAATGGAACTCGGTTCGCCGGGTTTGTAGCGCAGCGTAGCGTTAACCACTACACCCACCGCTCCTCACACACCACACACGCACAGATACACACACAGACACACACACAGACACACACACAGACACACACACAGACACAGACAGCACGCTAAGCACTACACTACCGTTCCCCCTACACAACACACGCGCGCGCGTCCATAGGTACACATACACGCGCTTTCTGCAGACACACACGACTTTCAGGGTGCGCACGGCAGTAAACGACTGCAATAATAAAGCGGCAATGCTGCGCGAGGAACGCCTTAGACCTGCAAGACATTTGTGTAATGCGAGCATAAACACACAAACACATACAAACACATACACACACATACATACACACACATACACACAAACACATACACACACATACACACACATACATACACACAGACATACACATACACACAAACACACACATACACAATACACACACACATACATGCAGACACATAGACACACACATAACACACATACGTACACACGCATACATACACAGAAACACATACACACACATACATACACACACACATAATGCACACAAACACATGCACACACGTACATACACACATACATACAGACACGCAGACATACACATAAAGACATACAAAAAACCGACATACATACACACACACATACACACAAACACATACACACACATACATACACACATACATAGAGACACACAGACATACACATAAACACATACACACATACACATGACCCGGCTTCACCCGGGACTTGGATCCACGATGGCCGGCCGCCTTTGTCTCCCCAGTGACGATGTTCACACACAACAGCAGTTACGCGTTTGAGGCTGAGTCGACCTAGGGGAGGCCCAGGTCCGTTTCAAATAATCGTCAGCGGTGGTGGGCGTGAGTTGGAATGGAACTGTGGTCGCTCAACCAGCTTAATGACTATTTGTACAAAGAACATATAAAGAATCGATTATAATAACCAGGCTACAGTCCACATTATATACTGGCAATACACGCACTCAGCTTCATAAGCAGGCTAGAGTGTACATGATAGAGTGGCAGTACACTCACCGAGTTTAATAAGCAGGCTACAGTCTACATGATAGACTGGCAGTACGCTGACCCAGCTTAATGACTATTTGTACAGTGAACATTTAAGTAATCGATTGTTGGCGCGTTGGGTTTAAAAGTAATATAAATTGCACACATTGTGGTGGGGGTGGAGTGAAGAGTAGGAAAACCTTTGATGAATTTACCTCAGAGTGGCGTGGTGGGTGTCGAGGCCTAGTAGCGTGCAGAGCCTGCGGCCTCGCCAAAATTGTCCAGCTGGCAGAGGCAGGGTACGGGTGGCGTGCCTTCCCCCCCCCCCCCCCCCCCCCCTCAGCGCTCCAACAATACTGTGTAATGGTTATTATTTAATTATTTACGGAGCCTATGAAAGTGGCGAAGGCGTGGCTAGCCGTTGGCAGGGGCAACCGCCGTCCAATGAAACTGCAGCCCTTGGCGAAGGCGTCGCTAGCCGTTGCCAGGTCCAATGAAAGCGGCGAAGGCGTCTCTAGCCGTTGCCAGGGGCAACCGCCGTCCAATGAAAGTGCGTATGGTCCAAAATCCACACACACACACACACAGACAGACATGCACGATTTTATATATATAGATAGAGCATACTAATGCTTAACAAAATGGAGGAATTCACTTTTTCTTTTTACTTCTAAATTTCATGCATGAAATTCCACTTTTTAACGTAATATATAGGCTACTCAGGCTAAACACAACCAATAAATGCACTTTTAGTTGAAAAATAAAGCTAGGAATATTGGATTTCGATTTAAAGCTTTCGTGACTGCAGGGATTCATCCTCTTGGTTCTTTCGGTAAAGTCACGTAGAAATAAATAATAATCTTTCTGACAGACCTGTTCTTCACCTGACGGCTGCTTGCGTTGTGGCCGAAACGTCGTGAGAATAATTTTGTTTTATTTTTATTATTTTATTATTTCCATTCTACGTGACTTTACCGAAAGAACCAAGAAGACTAGGATAATTGGACCAATTTTTCCAAAAAACGGCCTAGGTTAGTATGGCGATTTTATTTTTATGGACGTGAAAATGTCATCGTGAAATGTCGCCAGCGGTGTGCTGGAGAGCCAAGCAACGACATGTACAAAGTGCTGCTCATAGCGAGCAGCACCGATGGAGGTCGTCACGGCACACGAGGGGGTGGGTGGCCAGCACCACGCCCGGCCGCCTTTGTCTCCCGAGTGGCGATGTTGACACACCGCACCAGGTACTCATTTGAGGCTAAGTCGAAACTCGCTCCCTTTCTGTCAACAAACTTGAACTCTGACCCCGCTCTCTGACGTCACCGCTCAGCGTGACCTCATCGCCGTCAAGTTCAAGTTCAAGTTCATTTATTAGGTATAGCCCTGTGAGCCATTCAGCTCTTGAATCGGGTGCAACCGCAACAAACAAAAAACAAAAACATGAACAAAAAACATCTTAAAGTGAATATGTGACTAAGTGCAAACAAAATTCAAGAAAAGACAGCAAAAATATTGCAGAAAAAACACCGTACACCAACGCTGTGTGCAAAAATCTCAGTGGGATGCAAGTCAAACAACAACAACCACAAGACAGCTTAGATTAAGGCCATCAGTCTAACTCTGTACTACAACAAACAAACATGGCTAAACCAATACACTTTTCGAAATCACCAAAATAAAGCCATGAAAGCAATGAAAAAGCAACCATAGGAACTGTGACGGAATTTTCACAATAAATGGCATAAACAACATCTACTACCAAAACCCTGCAGCCATAGCTGGCTGCATGAGTCACTCCACAACAGCAGGAGCATCAATCGGAGTATTGTAATTTTTCAATGCACCTTTAAGATCAGCACACTAAATCAAAACACAGGTCATACTTTGTAGCGATCATCCGGAGCGAAACATTTAATTTTAGGTCACTGAATAGCACTGGCAGCTAGGGGTGTACAACTCCTCTAGAGCAGTTTTGAGTGAAGATCTCATAGGTAGTGACTCAAGTTTCAATTTATTTGCAACAGCATTCCAGACCCTGGGGGCATCAATAGCAAAGGCCCTTCCTCCAGTATATGTACGGCAATAGGGAATATTAAGCTGGTAAATGAGTGTAGACCTTAGGTAAAATTTGTTCTTTGAAACAGAGACGAGATTCAGCAGGTAATCTGCAGATTTTTTTGCAAGTACATCATGAATAAATAAGATCTGGTGCACAAGCCGTCGAACATTCAGAGATGTTAAGTTTGACCCAATGTAGAGATCACAGTGGTGAGTCCTATATGGGCAGTTCAATGCAAATCTTAAGGCCGAGTGATACATTGAGTCAAGCTTCTTCAGTACAGTACTTGGGGCTGATTTATACACAATGTCACAGTAATCAAGTAGAGGCAGTATGGTAGCTTTAATCAATTCCAAACGGAACATAGGAGGGAAGCAGTGCTTGTGTCGATATAGAAAACCAATTTTAATTTTTGTCTTTTTCCCAATATAATCAATGTGATCTTCAAAATTCAGTTTTGAATCCAGGATGACCCCAAGATACTTATAGATCTTGACTTGCTCTATTTGATCATTATTTAAGGAATGTAATTGGGGGAAAATAACTTCCCGCTTTAGTCCTGGTGAGAAGCATAGCACCTTGGTTTTGGCAGGATTTAGGACTAGTTTAAGAGCAACTAGCTGATGTTGTCAACGCCAGGGGGAGGTGTTCCTCGCTAGTGACGTCATGTCACCCACCCCCGACCACCGCGCTCTTGAGCTTGACGTCATCTTTGCTCGGCCGCTGCCGATATGTCCCAGTGCCAATCCTTATTGGGCAAAGCCCAAATAAGGATTGGCGGCTCATTAACATAATGTGTCGTGAAAGCCGTCGCGAGTTGAGAGCCGCTCATTGGGGGAGGGGAGTGTCATCGTACCCCGCAAGTGACGTCATGTCACCTGCTGCCGCGTGACGTCGCGAGGGACCAGGAAGTTGCCGCTACGCCCGTGAACTGAAATCCGAGGTGAGAAATTCTCATCGCTGTTGTGGTGGTTGTTGTTGTGGTGGTTGTTGTTGTTTATTGAGGTAGAGCCTCACTCTCTCTCTCTCGTAGGGATGTTAATTGAGTAGCAGCGAGCATGGAAGCGATGTCCAGGTTGGAACTTATCAACGCGGGGCCTTGCCTCCTGCCCTCGGCTGATCGCGTTTGCTTCAATTCTCTCGCTTAGTTTAGCAACCTGTGGAAGAACGCAATCAGCCAGGCTATGCGTTAGTTGTGTGTTGACCGACTCTCTGTGTTGCATTGCATTACATTTCAAATGTTACGAAGTTTGTTTAAGTGCAGTCACCAAACCTCCAAATCTCTCATTGACACAAGGCCCTAATTATAATATGTTGTAATAATTATAATATGTTGTAATAATTATTAAATGTTATTTTAATTAGAATATATAATAATCATAATATGTTGTAATAATGATGATATGTTATAATAATTATAATATATATTGAGGGGACATATCCCCCCCAATAATCAAATTTGCTCAAAATGCCCCCCCCCCCCCCAATATGTTGCTCTAAAAAAATATTTTTACTAATAATTGCGATGCTATGTTAATAAAAACTATTTGCTAAACCTCGGCCACAAAATCTGGACTTGTCTTCATATAACAATGCATAGATTTCTGTTATATGATTGCATTGTACTTTATGAATCCCTAATCTCTGCCATTACACACTATGAAACAAGAAAAGGTAAAAAAGAAAAAACATAGCAATGTAATACAATACACTATTAGACATTATTGTATCAAATAAAATAAATTCCATCCCATGTGTTAGTGAACTTTAAAAAATATTTTAGGGAGGAAATTGCAGGAAATGAGTTTTCAAATTTAGATATTTTTCTGGGGGGGAGGGGAACCCCAGACCCCTGGAATATTTGGTCCCCCCCAATGTTGACTCCATGGCTACGGCCTTGCATTGACATGCTAATTTCTCTACCCCCTCCCCTCTCTCTCTACCCCCTCTCTCTGCCCCCCCCCCTCTCTCTCTCTACCCCCTCTCTCTGCCCTCCCCCCTCTCTTTACCCCCCCTCTCTCTACCCCCCCCCCCCCTCTCGACCTCCCCTCTCTCTGCCCCCCTCTCTCTAAGGCCTCGACACAGGCGTTGTTTCTTTGTGTGCCTATGTGTGTCATCTTTCTGTGTGCCTGTGTGTGTCATCTCTCTGTGTGTCTATGTGTGTCTCTCTCTGTGTGTCTTTGTGTCATCTCTCTCTGTGTGCCTATGTGTGTGTCTCTCTCTGTGTGTCTCTGTGTCATCTCTCTCTGTGTGCCTATGTGTGTGTCTCTCTCTCTCTGTGTCTTTGTGTCATCTCTCTGCTTATGTGTCTGTCCATGTTTCTCCGTGTCTGTGTTTTGTCTCTCTCTCAAATTGAGCAATCTTTGGAAGAACGTTATCAACCAGTTGGGGTGTTGACTGTTATGTTAGCTGACTATCTGTGTTGTATTGCATTACATTTATAAGTTTACTAGGTTTTTTTATCTTTCATTTGTACCTGATGATGATTGCTTGTGTTGCAATCGAAACGTCGTATGCTATTTGCACACAGCGTTGGTGTACGATGCTTTTTGTGGAATATTTTGCTGTTTTTCCCTGGATTTTATGTTTGCACAGTCACATAGTCACTTTAAGATGTTTTCTCGTTCATGGTTTTGTTTTTTGTTTGTTGCGGTTGCATCCAATTCAAGAGCCGAATGGCTCACAGGGCTATACCAAATAAATGAAACTGAAACTAAAAATTTATTTATTTATTTTACGTGACTTTACCGAAAGAACCAAAGAGTATCTTGCTTAAGTTTTAATTTCTCCTCACCTGGCTCGCTACTTTGTAACTTTGTTTTATTTTAAATATTCACGTTTTTTTTTTCATTTGTTACCAGGCCACGCCCGCTTGAGCTGCTATACCACTCTTGTTTTGAGAAGCGACCTGCCCACAACAACAATAACAACAAGGTGGGGATTGTCAACAGCGTGGCGGTGTTCACTCTGGACGCGTAGCGGTGTTCACTCTGGACGCGTAGCGATGTTCACTCTGGACGCGTGGTGGTGTTCACTCTAGACACGTGGTGGTGTTCACTCTAGAGGCGTGGCGGTGTTCACTCTAGACACGTGGCGGTGTTCACTCTGGACGCGTAGCGATGTTCACTCTGGACGCGTGGCGGTGTTCACTCTGGACGCGTGACGGTGTTCACTCTAGACGCGTGGCGGTGTTCACTCTGGACGCGTGACGGTGTTCACTCTGTACGCGTGGCGGTGTTCACTCTTGACGCGTGGTGGTGTTCACTCTGGACGCGTGGTGGTGTTCGCTCTCTGCATGTGGAGTGGGGACAACCGGGGGATCCGGAGGGAAATCCACCTGACCACGGGAAGAGAGAAACACACGCAAACTAAAAATATACAGCAGGCTTCAGGGTTGGGATGAACCCACGACTTCCTGTATGCCAGGAAAGGTAGTTAACATCTCACCACGGGGAGTGAGAGAGACACGCAACCTCGGGGGTGTTGATTCATCCTCATTGAATTACTTGGATGAGTAAGGAAGCATTAACAGTAAGCGGATCAAGGTGGCCAGGCATGGGTCTGGACACACCACCACCTGTTAACCATGCCAGTGTGTTCCAGTATAAAGTTTGTGTTGGCAGTTAAGTCTATTAACTCTATTGAACACGAAGGTTATATGACAACAAGTTTGTTTTTGTTTTCCTCTGGAACTTTATAAGAATGGAAACAGTCAAGAAGTTAACACAGCACACACATGCAGCTGAAGTCAGATCTGTTCATTCGATTGAACATTAATTTATGCATTTTTGCATAAAACAAATAGTATTATTTTCAACACCCTTTGCTTTGTCAGCTAAATTTAGCTTTCATAAATATTCCTTTTGTAGCTAGACAGCCAAAATTGTGTGCTCGGAGTTTTGGGTTAACATTCATTTTGAAGATACGAGGGCTTCCAGGCATGTTTATGACCATTCGCCCTCTTATTGTGTGCCAGAACAGCTCGTGTGATGAATTTGGTAAACTTTTTCACTATATCATGAATATATGAATAAGTGTCGACTTATAAGTCATGTGTTACTGTGTAAATATGCATTCCTCTGTGCATCGATACTGACGTGGATATAACTTTTTTTTTGTCTGCAGCTGTCGCTTCCTCTGTCGAATTTGTCTGATGGAGCAAAGGCACTCGGCGCAGCTCGGTACCAAAAGTCAACAATGCGACCGGTGTGCATACAGCACGGATCGTCCTGGACATTTGACAAGGCACCAAAGAACTCACACAGGAGAGAAGCCCTTCAAGTGCACTGTGTGCGGCAACGCGTTTTTAGATTCATATACTCTTGTAAAACACCAGAGAACACACACGGGAGAGAAACCCTTCAGGTGTAGTGTGTGTGGGAAGGCGTTTGCACGTTTATCTACTCTTGTAGCACACCAGAGAACACACACGGGAGAGAAACCCTTCAAGTGCAGTGTGTGTGGGAAGGCGTTTTCAGAGTCATCTACTCTTGTAACACACCAGAGAACTCACAAGGGAGAGAAACCCTTCAAGTGCAGTGTGTGTGGGAAGGCATTTGCACAGTCATCTGCTCTTGTAGCACACCAGAGAACACACACGGGAGAGAAACCCTTCAAGTGCAGTGTGTGTGGGAAGGCGTTTGCACAGTCATCTGCTCTTGTAGCACACCAGAGAACACACACGGGAGAGAAACCCTTCAAGTGCAATGTGTGTGGGAAGGCGTTTGCACATTCATCTGCTCTTGTAATACACCAGAGAACACACACGGGAGAGAAACTCTTCAAGTGCAGTGTGTGTGGGAGGGCATTTGCACGTTCATCTGCTCTTCATGCACACCAGAGAACACACATGGGAGAGAACCCTTTCAAGTGCAGTGTGTGTGGGAAGGCGTTTGCACAGTCATCTGCTCTTGAAAGACACCAGAGAACACACAAGCATCAGAAGATCCACAAGGACTGGAGTCTGAAATCAGCTTGTGAAAGTCAAAGTGCCGCAATGAGCCCATCCCTCATCAAACAAGAACCGGAAGAAAATCCCAGCTTGGACGCTTTTAAAGGTATCGAGGTAAAATGTGAAGAAGTGATGGTGAAGAGTGAAGAAGTGATGTGAAGAGTGAAGAAGTGATGGTGAAGATTGAAGAAGTGAAGGTAAAATGTGAAGATGAAGATTCAATTCCAAAATCGGACCTTCACATCGATGGAGGCAACGTGAAGCAGGAGGAGAATTCTTACTGTGAGGCAGAGCGAGGCAACTCCCAGCAGTTTGTGGAGGTGTGGGTGGACTTCATCCGACACAATACAATGTCAAATGGAGACCCGGTAGATGTGTAAGCTTGAGACTATGTAGCTCCAATAGATGCACCTTTTGTCACAGACCTTTAATGACAAGAAAGAAGTTGAACACTCAACTCCTAGGTTCAACTTGCAGGGTAAGAGCGCCCAGTCTTTATGGACGTGTGGGTTGGGTAGATCTCTAACCAGGAGCGAGAGCCAATGAGCTCCCAAGCATTCACTTTGTTCTAATAATTCCATTTTTATGGTGCTTTATCGCCCCGGCAATTCGGAGTTTTGTATCGTATCTCGTCTCTCGTCTCAAACACTCGAAGAGCATCCCCAAGTAGCAGCTGCCCCTGTGTGGCACAAGGTGGTGGCTCTGCACCGGCCTGCATGTGGACAAGAGCCTGTTTGGAATTTGGTCAATTTTGACCCAGATGCCAGCATGCAATGGCCTACTCGTTTTGAATGGCGCAATAGTATGTTGTACATACACTTAAGCAGATGGTGCATATATTTTTTTAAATAGCTTCTTGTTAATACGATGTAACCTGTTGCAGTATATTTCAGTGCAGTAATTCAATTTTGTTCAAATAACTCCATAATTTAGAATGAATACTTGTATGATTGTGTGCGTACATTTAACATTTTGTCTATAAGGGTCAAACATTGAATAAGTGATGTTTGGACACAGAGTGTGTTTTGGAATAACCTGTAAAGATAACTCGGGTGAGACCCGTTGTTCTTCTGATACAGGTCAAAGGGTATTTTGTGTTTTCAGGAAGCGTCTGTCTCTGGAGCAACTCATTATCTTTGAAATAGGGAGCACACTCAGATCGTTCATCAGTTACAAGACATACCACTTAAAAGTTACACGTAGAGGAGATACATTCTCTACAACACGAATTATAATTTAGTCTTACCTGTTGACGTAGGTTTTGTCGAATTAGGACTAGAAGTACTCCTTGCTGATAAATGTCTGGATGTTCACAACCATCGGTTGAAACAAGCCCGGCTGCTGTTGAGACGCTGTGCACCAATAAGGGGCCACAGGTGGCTTGCACTGAATCAATGACGCACTCCCAGAACGCTGTGCTAGATATAGTTTGTGTAAAACATTCCTTTGTTTTGTGGAGAGATTAATAAATGAAAGATGTCGTGTTTGCTGATCTGCTTCATAGCAAGGAGGTAATTTTAAGAGCACATGTGAAATGTATTTTTGGTACAGATTTGTATTCGGTTACAAGCAGGAGCGCATCTAGTAGATACATTCTCCAAAACAACACTCATTCGAATTTTGCATTAAGTCTTATATGTTGGTGAACTAGGACAAGAAATGTTTTTTGCCGATTAACGTCTGGATGTTCACTACTATGGGTTGAAGCAAGGCGGGACCACCTGCGACGCCCCTCACAACCATTTACGGCCTTGGGCCAGGGAAGTCACGAAAAAAATTGCGCACGAACGACGCATCCACGCAGCTCTCGATGCTCCGTTTTGAAGTTTGAAAATGAAACAACTTTGAATTTCGATTTAAAGCTTTCGTGACTGCAGGGATCCATCTTCTTGGTTCTTTCGGTAAAGTCACGTAGAAGGGAAGTAATAAAATAATAAAAATAAAACAAAATAATTCTCACGACGTTTCGGCTACAACGAATTGTATTATGTTTTGAATTAGATAATTATATTTCTTCATTAAAAGCTTGTTATTTTACATCTGGAAGACTTAATTGAAAACGACATTTAGTGTGAATTTTCTCTCGTCGTGAAGTAGATGGCCTTGCCGGGGATTCTCTTCGATGTGGACTTTCACCTGGTTGGGAGAAGACCGCCGTCTGCAGATCGATTCCAACGCGATTGAACGTCTGTCCCTGTGCCTCTGTCGTTCATGCAGGGGGCGTGTAGGTCTACAGCGCTCCCTGCATGAAAATGACGGAAAGTGCAACGTTTGTCACAGATGAAGTTGTGCGCTTCTATAAAAGAGTATCGCCAGTGGGGTTTCAAACTAACTTCGTCTTACAGAAATCAATTTAGCGTGAGCCCACCGCATTGAAACAATTCTCAGCTGAGCGGGGCGAGCCACGGTGGGGGGGGGTCACCTCATCTTTGTCACGTGCCGTAGCTCACGTGACTTCTGCCGCGACAATGTCTGGATGTTTTCGCCTGAGGACGATCGCTCGTGTTGCGATCGAAACGTGATTTATTTATTATTATTTTATTTGTTCTACCTACGTGACTTTACTGAAAGAACCAAAGAGGATGAAAGACGTCTTGTCTGCTGATCTTGTTCATATCCGTGTACATCGATATCCCACATTGCTTACACGTTCACACCACACACAATGAAATAAATAGAAACTAGAACGACTTCTGGGGATGGGCAATTATCAAGTAAACTCTTTCAATGGAGCGAGTTCAGTTAGTTCGATTCAACATCTCTCTGCCCGTCTGTGTCTCTGTTCGCCTCTGTGTGTTTCTCTCTGCATGTGTCTATGTCGTCTCTGTGTCTCTGTGTTCCTCTTGTCTGTGTCTGTCCACCTGTCTTGTCTGTGTGTGTCTGTCTATCAGCGTCTGTCCAACCGGAGTCAACGACTGTCAGTAGCAGCAGGCTCCCGTTCAACTCCCACGGCTACACGCCACTCAAACTTGCTCCCAACACACAAAGACAAACATCCCCCGTGTAGACTGGACAGAATGTCAGGGAAAGTGCTGTTAGCGAGCACCTAACACAAACACAAAGATCCCCCGTATAGCCTGTACAGAATGTTGGGGCAAGTGCTGTTAGTGAGCACCTAAGACAAAGACCCCCCATATAGCCTGGGCAGACTAGGGGCAAGTGCTGTTAGCGAGCACCTAACACAAACAGAAAGATCCCCCATATAGCCTTAACAGTTTCATTTCATTTTCATGTATTTGGTATAGCCCTGTGAGCCATTCGGCTCTTGAATCGGGTGCAACCGCAACAAATAAAAAACAAAAACATGAACTAGAAAACATGTCAAAGTGACTATGCGCAAACAGAAAAATCCATGGAAAAACTGCAAAGTCTTCCAGAAAAAAGAACCGTACACCAACGCTGTGCAAAAATCCCAGTGGGATGCCAGTCAAACAACAACAACAACCACAAGACAACTTAGATTAAAGCCATCATTCTAACTCCGTACTACAACAAACAAACATGGCTAAACCAAAAAACTTTTCGAAATCACCAAAATAAAGCCATAAGCAATGTAACAGTGATCATAGGAACTATGACCGAAATTTCACAATAAACGACAAAAAACATGTTCCACAAACCCTGTAGCCATAGCTGGCTGCATGAGTCACTCCACAACAGCAGGAGCATCAGTAGGAGTATAAAAACAATTTCAAATGCACCTTTAAAGATCAAAGATGGACAGCTCTGAAATCGGCTTGTGTGCAGGTGCTCCGTGAAATGTTGCATTGCAAGAAAATTTGATGATGACATCTTGGAGAGGCCTCCATCCAGCATTGGATTTAATTATGGTTGATAACACTGGTCAACACACTTTTTCTGGCATAAGGTATTCCAACGGTTTTAAGGTAATTTTGGGTGCTGATTCCAAATCTGGCATCAGCTTTTGTCTACCACATCAGGTTTTTGAGATATGAAATATTGTGTTTTCAATAAAAACTGCAGAAGAAAAATATTAAATAAATGTGGATATCTCCATACAATGATATTATAAACATACTATCCTAAAAATACAGCACCATATTTTAACACTAAAGCAGTCACTGACTCGCAACAACTTGCAATCATAAGTGACAGTTAATTTCGGGTAAAATCAATGAAAATGGGTTATGCCGATAGCATAAAATTAGATGTGATAGAGCAAATCTGAGATCAGAAATTAGTCTAAAATAGCTGCAAAAGTCCAGGACAGAATTTTTTTTTTGTTGACCAGTGTAATGATGATGAACATGAATCTATAACTAAGCTTTGCCGTCCGTTTACTTAACAGGACCCTGCGGGGTGGGCTGGTAGGAATAATACTTAGTACCGGTACAGGGATATCGACCGGGTATAGAGGAGTTAAAAAAAATACTGTATTCTAGTGTAACGTTAATTAAAAGTGTTTGTTTTGACAAGAAACGCTGTGAGATTTAAAGACTCGTAGTCTTTCATTTCCAAACGATCACATCTGAGATTAATTGACCTTAGATGGGGAAACTCGAATGCATTTACTAGTATAAAGGTGAAATAAAATAGAGGGAATAAACGGCACCTTGGTGCATTTTATGTCGTCTACATAGAGTTGAATAAACGGGCGTTTGGCATATTCATATAACAGTACTACATTGAGCAGTGTTTGTTTGGCACTTCGAGTTTTTATTCGCGCGCACGACATGGATACCGAAAACAACCACGACTTTGAAGACCCCAATGGTTGTCTGGACGCCCACGTTGAAAAGATGCTTGCTGAAACAGAGACCGCATTTGCTGCTGGAACCCTTTACAAACTCGCAGTAAAAAGCGTCGTTTCCATGGACCCAGAACCAACCGCAGTTGGTGCTGCTATAACGGTAGCATCGCCACCAAACATGCAGCCAGCAGCTAAATAATCAAAGATTGCAGCACAAGTAGAAATACT